TCTACGCCTAACCTCAGCATTGCTAGTCCGGTTACCCCACCAGACACGTGCAATGCTACAGGAAATCTGAACTGCTTGTCAATGATTAAGAAACCACTTCATTCTTTACTTTGCAAGGCCCAAAAATGTTATCCCATTTACTTTTATGCCCCAATTTGGGCGACAAGGTCATATGCGAGAACTGCCGTGGAATCAGGATGCTAGGCGTGACCAGGTAGGGCTCTAACGGACGGCAAGTGGTTTTGCGCGGGGAACCAACAAAGTTATTCACTGGTGAAGGGGTCAATTCACAGTGTACTCGACCGGAATATAGAAATTCTATTTAGAAAACGAAATTTAAAGTATACACGAAAGCAAAAAATAACCATACAAACACAAGGATGTGTCAAACCCTGTCCCGATGTTCCAATTCGATCACTTTGTCGGACTGGATGGAATGAGAGATTTCACATCAGTTCTGAAATCCACAACTGCTGTCAACGCCTAGTGGAATGATCTTTTCGAGACACGTGTACATACATGCGTGCACCATGAAAAGCCTCATCTAGTGAGCCTTGGTTTTCCACGATTTGGTCCAGGAAAATACGGTAGTCTCTATCGTTTGTAATTTCTAATGCTTATGGAAAACGGCTATCGGTAAATTTGACCAATACAAATTGAATGAGATTAGGTATTATGAGTTTAATATAGATAAATAGCTTGGTAAAAACTGACCTATTATTGGATATGAAGACTAGCTAAATTAAATGGACTTTTTATCCAAACGGGGACATTCAGCGAAACAAACTAACTTCTTTCGAACATCGCGGCTGTCATTTTGCTTACATTTCGCGTACGGTTCGTTAAAGTGTGGGAAATCATGCAAGCAACTTACTGTTGTCCCGCACAAGGACGAATCGCAATGGCAAGTGAGCAGCGACCACTTCGCTCAGACGCATGTTCAAATCCAACCGCTGTCCCCGACGCGGTGGACCTTCAGACGAATCCGGTGTCTTTTTCTGTCCACCTAGTGACTGTTGTTGTTGTTCGGATTGCGAGTTGTGACGTTGCAATGGTGGCGTGCGTTGCTCGGTGACGTGAGGCCAACTTTCCAAATGGTACTGATAGCCACCATGTTGTGGCAATTGACGACGCTGAGCGGCTCGTTCGAGCACAGCGCTTAGTGCGGTATCCGCCGGGAACCGAAAAGTACTGATTCCCTGAGTCATATGACTATAAAGGGCAGAATGAGGTGAAATAGTTTACATCAGTAGGCCACTTCTCTTACAATGGTCTGAGAACCAAGAGAAAAAATGGACACTTTTCTCACTATCTCAGTCACTAGATCGTATCGGTAGGACAATTTTGGGAAATGAAGGACACAGTATGTGAGGAAAAGAAAATCAGTTTCAAAATCATTCACATAACAGTTTGACTGGTTGCGTCAGGAAATTGTGGTGCACACAAAACCTGATGACGCAACTTAATCAGGATTGCTTCGTTGAATGCTAAAATCCCGGTCTTTGTGTCACGTCACAACCCTTGCTCAACAGAAATAGGTCAGTGATGCGACCAGTTACCATGACATGTTGCAAATGGTGACCCCGGATTTCTTTTATCAGACTGAACTGTGAAATTGTGTTGCGTCATTGACTGTAGCAACCAATTGGGAATCTATTCGAAAATCTGCTGTGATGAAGGGGAGCTGGTTTCTTCTACCAGCGCAAGCGTCACTTTAATTGCAGGTGAATTGACGGACGATGTGGGACAGTATTGGATAGCTAGTTCTGTCTTCGGTTATTCATACGAAATTTCAAGGGTGTTAAGATATCGGTTGAATCTGCCTGAACAAACAAGAAGGATCATTTGAGAAAGACGGTTTCCGATGCGATTCTGGAAACTACTTTCCATAGTTTCAAGTAAATCGGGTCTACCTGAATAGGTAGAACAGGTGCATGATAATCTGAAATTTTCACCAAGTTCCACAAACTCGTTTACGGAAATTGAAGAAACGCAGCGAAAAATCGTTAGACCGTGGTGTAAGACTTTGAAATGATTGCTTATGTAAGTCACAGGAGTTAACTGGAGAACACTGCTAATTCGAGACAGACTGCACAACAATCAATAACAATCCTTCAACTAGGGTGAACTGTCAAATATCTCGGTGTAATTATCGATAACAACCTTTGTTGGTCAGCACAAATATAACAACTGCATTTTTTTATTACATGCCTAAGTGTGATTAACAGCAGTTGGGGTAAACCGCATAGTCACTAGGACTTGTTATTCAGTGATTGAAACCAGTAACCTACGTCCCAGGACTTGGAGTAGCGAACCGTATCATTCAGTACTATGAGGAAGGCGGCGTTATACGTTCTTTTTAT